TTTTTTAGGAGATAACACATACAGGATTAAGGAACCAGGTATCTATGAGGCATTTGCAGCCCACGATTTTGATTTCAGTACTGTATTGGACCTGTGGTCATATTCCCTTTCATAGGAAGATCTACTCCAGGTTTTCCGCAAAGCTACCTGTGCTGGTCCCGGGGGGTTACAGTGCGGCAAGGTCCGAGTCCAGTCCAAGGTCGAGGGTGCAGTATGGAGGCTGTCCGTCAAAGCTGAAGCGGGGTCCAAGACAGGGAGTCAGGCGAGGTCAGGAACTCTGGCAGAAGAGCAGGACAGGGTACAGACAGGTACCAGTTACCAACAATGTTGCTCCCGCAACCTGGGACTGGGCAGGCTGACTTTTATCTGCCCCAAGGCATAGGGCAGTCCCGGTCCACAGGTGACTTGCCTCTCCTAGCCTGGAGGCGAGCACTCCTCCTGCGAGAACTTAGTTCCCTCTGCCTCTCTGCCCTGAGCCTCTGCAGCTCAGGAGTCTAGAGGGTTACCAGACCCAGAGGCAACCTCACCTTCCCCTGATGGGGCTAAGAGTGGAGCACTTGCAGGCAATGGGTCCTCCCATCACCTCAGGAGTCAGAGCAGACTCAGCTGGTGTCTGCTCCTGAGGATCCAGCACAGGTGAGGACCCTTCAGGCTCAAGCCCCAGCCCCGGCTCAGCTGGTCCTGGAGGCAGGGACTCCTGTGCAGGCTGGGATTCCTCAGGTTCAGCCTCTGAATCTGATTTCCAGGCCATCACACTACCTTTGTTTCAGCAGTGTAACGTAGGATGTAAAAAGTATTTTAGCTGTCACGATTAAACAACGAAGAGTTAGAAACTTTTGCTGATTTACTGTGTATCACCCAGAGACCTGCCAGCGTATCAAGCTCTACCATCGGCTATGGTTTGGGGATGATGGCAGTTGCAGTCTTAATGTTGAATGAAGAGCACCATACTGACCATCCCTAGGCAGTGGCGCTGGAGATGGGAGTGTTCAGTACCCTTTTATGTGCTCCTTTTCCTAGGATGTGCACGAACTGCTCAGCAAACATTGACATTGTATTCCAGAGCTTGCTGCTACAGGACAGATGTGACTCATTCCACAAAGATGTTTCCAAGGAAGCCACTGTGTTACTGTGCACCAGTTGGAGCGACAGGGCGGGGCGGAGGTACCTAGGTTTCGGGAATCAAGGAACAATGGCCTTTTAACTTCAACAACAGTATAGAGTTGTTGTCTTTAATAAGCTATGGACAAAATGAATGCATCAAAGGAAGTTGGTTTTGTTCTGTTTCGATGAAATGAAATGAAGTTTTGTGCTAAAATGCGAGGCCCTCCTTGCTTCAACAGAACTCTGCCATTGCCCTCTCTGGGCAGGGTTTTTGTTTCGGGGTTAGGGAGGTGCTGTGTGTGAAAGGAATTTTGAGGTCTTAGATATATGTTAAATGTTCATAAGTGTACCAACCAAGCACGTACATAGATCAGCACAGGAAGACCAACCTGAAACCATTTTTGATTCCCAAACTGACCAAATGTTTTTTCTGCAAGGTCAAAGGAAAATGGAAAAGCCTCCCCATTGTCTTTTCCTTCACAAATCCTGTCTTAAGGGCACATTTAAGATACGAATAAGGTGTGAGCCTGTGACCTGGCTCAGGAACGAAGTATTTATCATTACAAAAGACTGGCCAGGCTCCCCAGGCAATTCAATCAAGTGACCATTAAACAGGTAACCTGTCAGAGGAGATAAACAACATTCAAATTTCTGTTTTAGACCACCTTTTCTGTGATGTAGATATGATGTTTCTGGGGGTGGTGGTCTTGGGTTACACCCCTTCTGTGATGTATGTATGATGTATGGAGGGGTGGTCTTGAGCTCCAGGGCAGGGAATTTAAAATGTCTATATAAGGGCAGGCACACCTTGGTTCTGGGTTCCTCCTCCCTCCTGCGTGTGGTGAGTGAGGACCCTGTTGCAACAGATCAATAAAGATCAGGCTTACTAGCTGCTTTGCTTCTCAGTATTCTCTGGTTGGCCTCTGTTATTTTCTCCTACCAATAGGGAACCCACGTAAGGACTCTATATGGGCTCTTGGATACCCCATAAGGGAAAAAAGGGCAGATTTTTGTTTACAACATGTGTCACATCAGAATTCCTTTCACCCCTCTGCCTTGGCTTCCCACCAAGAGTTAAAATTCCTGAGCTCTCAGTTAATCTCTTCCTCCTAGCATCTGCTGGCAGCTTTCCCAGTCCAGTATGAGAAGAGAGGGATTGGCCCCCTTGAATGAGGAATTCCAACTCTGCCTCTCTCCGGGCCCAACCTTCTGTGTACTTCCCAGATTTATTCTCTTGGCGGGAGTGTGGGGCAGGCGGCCAGGTTGAAGAGAAGAAACGTGGGCCTCTTTATGCCCTGTGGGGAACCTTCTGTGTAAGAATACCAAATCTACAGCGGACTGGATTGAGCCCAGTGTGATTAACTCAAGGACCTGAAACAAAAGCTTCCAACAAACCATTTCATGACTCTCCAAGTAATAAAACTGTTCTGACGGGATGTGCAAATATTCCCAATCCAGTTAAGAGAACAAACATATATACATGATACAAATTACACAAGAGTTTGAAAATCGACTCTCAAAATCTAGTTTCTGTGGACTGCTCTCTTAAGCAAGAAGTGTTTTTTCCCCAGTCTTCAAAAGTCTGCTACTTGGAATGGATCCTTTCTTCTAAATATGGATGCAGCAGATTCGCCAGTTTGGAAGTGTTCTGTTGCAAACAAGCAGGATTTATCCCAGCCAAGGGAACTGATAATCCGTGAAATGACCTGTTTATTCACCCTCATTTGTTTGCACAAAGTTTGTGGGGAGATTATAAGATGTTGGCATCATTTTAGATTTGTTTCTTAACACAATTCTAATTTGGGGCTAGAGGGCAGGGAAATGGGTTTGTTGCACAACAGTGCTGAAATTGCATTAATTGTGCACTCTTGAATCCCACCCACAAACTTGCGGCAGTCTGGAAGTGCCTGCAGAGAAAAGTGAGCTCCTCTTTAATAAATAATAATAATAATAAAAAAAAACCGGGCTCAGGGCGGCTAACAACAAATTTAAAACACTTTAAAACACTTAATTATAAAATTTAAAGAGCCGCTTATGTTGCATGCATCAAAACTGAAAGTGGAGCAAGCTGCTAGATGTCACTGTTTCAGGCCTGTCTATTTACCTAACAAACTGGTTTGACCATGTTAGCTGCCCCCTTTTTCTGTAGAATATTGTCGCACAAGTATAAAATCACAGAGTTTAAGGGGACCCCCCCTCAAATAATTTAGTCTAAACCCAAACCATTATAGAAATATAATTCAGCCCCTTTTGCCCACTTCCCTTGTCAAATCTTTGTTTCCAATCAGATGCCACAAAAGGTAAACTCATAGTGAAAGACCAACTCACAGCCAAATTCACAACAATAATTGTAATTCAGTTTTTATGAGCTTGTGATAAAAAGCCCATGCATGTTTGCATGTTTTCAAAGAGCAAGCAATAAAACCAATTAAATTGTTTTCATCAGAAGCCGTTTATTTTATAGCTTCAGGAAGGCTTCAGTTACTCTTAATTGTGCTCCAAATCAGAAAATGACTAAAGTTAAGTCTTGCTTAATTGCTTTGTTCATTTGGGGATTTAGGCCTCAGTGTGTTTTTTTTAAAAAAATGTTTATTATGTGCATGTTGTCTCAAAGGATGGCAATCAACAAAGGATGAAATCAATAGGCTTCAGAATATGTCTATAAATGCACAGAATATGTCTATAAATATGTAGGTAATCTAGAATCCAATTTAAAATTAAGTAAATGGGGGAAATTCTATAGTTCTAGGCAATGCGTATTGCTTTCTCAATCTGCCTCTAACATTTATATTTTTTAAAAAATCTGTTGTGATTTACCTTCACCCACCCAGCATCCTTGCTTTTGTTATATTCATCCATAATGCCTTAAAACGTGGCTATATTCCATAATCTTAGAGGGGAAAATATGAAGCAGCGAGTTAAGATTTCAACCTTAAAGGCACAGCCTAGAACCGTTGACATCAGTGGGGAAACTTGAAATACAGATTGTTAATAAGATGCATTGAAGCCATACATATGTTTCATAAAGATAAATATAATTTTAAGACAGAGCAGGCTGTTTTCCAGCGATACATATCAAGGAGCATGATTAATTAATATACTTCAATATTTCTCTCCATCTCTAATAACAGGTGAATGGGGCATTCTTACAACTGTCAATGAGGCAACGTTTTTGGAAGCCCTTTTGAACATTATCTAGATTCATATATGAGGTGGGATGGGCAAGGAGGAGACTGCTAGAGACCCAAATCTATTGTCCTTCACTCCCAGTTCACTAGTAGGCAAATAAGGTATACAGTGGTACCTCGGGTTAAGAACTTAATTTGTTCTGGAGGTCCATTCTTAACCTGAAACTGTTCTTAACCTGAGGTTAGCTAATGAGGCCTCCCGCCATCGTGTGATTTCTGTTCTCATCCTGAGGTAAAGTTCTCAACCCGAGGTACTATTTCTGGGTTAGCGGAGTCTGTAACCTGAAGCATCTGTAACCTGAAGCGTCTTTAACCCGAGGTACCACTGTACTCTTCATTAGTGATGTTAAATTCTCAAGAATAATGAGAATATTAGAGAATTTTCATTTAAAATAGGAGAATATTAATTTTAATGCATTGAAAATTATATAATTTTAATGCATTGAAAATTATATAATTAGTTAATATACATGTTTATTCATGGGTAAACTTGTTCAGATGGCAACCAAAAACTGTACAGATACAATGGGGTAATGCAGTGAATTCACATTCTTTGATATTTTTTTGCACCAAACTTGAAATTGACTCACATTAATCACTAAGCCTGCCACTAATCGTATCTTTACCATCAACTTTGAATTCTAATGATGTTGTGCATGTATGAAATGTAGCTTTTAAAGTAAAAGGAATATAAAGAAACCCTCAAGTCTGCTACATGAGTACGTTCTTTAATAAGCATATCTACATGGTACAGTATTTTCAGTGCAACACTAATAAAATCAATATAAAGTTTAAAATAAATGCTATTTCCATAAAATAAAACACAATCAGTAATGACAAGTTACATAACATCAGAAATGCAAATCACTATCTACTTAGACAAGTAAGGCAACACACAACATATTTAAATTATAATTATAACTGATAAATTGTCACAAGAAAGAAATTTATTTTAAAAATAGGCATTAAGTAACAAGTCTCAAATGTTTATAAATTTATATTGACTCCTCAAACATCTTAAGAGGACAAGTCACCATCTTCGTCTCCACTGGTAACAGAGCTTTCAGTTCCACACTGATCATCTGTCAATCTCTGGAAAATGGCACCTTGTACTATTTAATGGCACTTCAAAAAACAGTTACTGGCACTGAATAAAAATATAGAAACATCAACTGTTTAAATCAAGGCTACCTCACATGCTGTTCCACATAATTCTATAGGCCTAGGTACTTTAAGTATACAAAGCATTAAAGCTACTTTCTGTATTAAAAAAAAAAATCACACTGTATGGCCAAGGGTATAGAATTGCTAAGAATAAGGTCACACTAAATTAGAAAAAAGGCTATTACATATAGCTGAAATACATATGAATTCAAATGTTCATCAAATTAAATGAATGGTGTTTTTAAAACTATATTAAAAAAATGTTTTCTGTAGCTCACATTTCAGAACTGCCAATGGTGAATGACACAATACCCAGTAATGTAACTAGATTAAAAAAAAATCATTATTCATTACTTACACTGGCAATATCACAGCTTGACTTATTATTTACTAGTTTTTTTTAATGTGGATTGTAAAACTGGTTCTTACATTAGAATTTACAGTTTGTGGAGAATATTCTCTGGAGAATATTCTCACCTCACATCACTACTCTTCATCCACCCTTCACACTTGAAGGCTATCCCTTCCCAATATAACCCTTTCATATATATGAAAGTGAATATATTAAGGATTTATTTAAGAGAAGAGTTTGACTGGGAAGCAGAATAGGTTAACTATATACACTTTGAAACAAGGCTAATAACATGCGGGTACAGGAACTCGGACTGCATTCAAACTTTCTCCAGTCAACTGTTGCATAGTTTTCTTTGGCAGTTATACCACTCTTATTATGGCTACCAAATATTTAAAATTTCAAGAACATTCCAGTCCAGTTTTATGCAGTTTCATAAGCAATGAAGTTGGGAATTGCATTTATTCATTAAAATGCAGCAAAATAGTATCTCTGAAAACAGTAAACTGGCTTGGGATGAATATGTTCTGTCTTAGAAAAGTCCGAAAAACAGCACCAGATATTCCATTGAATGACTGACTTTCTGCCCCAGTCAGCTTTGCATGGCTGTTCTCCCTTGCATCAGAATAGAGTATGTTAATCTTGCTTGAAAAGAGCAAAAGCTTCTTGTTTAGATTTCATGCAGGATTTTGCAAAGGACGTCACTTTTCGAAACCCTTCTGATAAGCCCTCACCTGTAATTGCACAACAGGGTTGTACGTACCAGTTTCGATCGTGGCAGTGCTTTTTCACGTTCAGCCTCCTGGTTATTTCCTCAGCACTTAGAGCTCCAGGAAGATCCTGTTTGTTTGCTAGCACAACCACAGGCACGTTCTTAATCCTGTCATTCCTCAAAAGAAGCTCCAATTCTTTCTTGGACTCTTCCAACCGCTGGTTGTCTGTGCTGTCCACAACATAGACCAGGCTATCCACGTTCTCCAAGTAGTTGCTCCAAGCAGGCCTCATTTGGTGTTGGCCCCCAACATCCCAGATGGTTAAGGCAATGTCTTTCCCTGTTTCAAGCATCTCCACGTTGAAACCGATGGTTGGCAAAGTTTGGAAGACATCATTAAATTTCAGCTTATACAAGAGGGTGGATTTCCCGGCTGAATCAAGCCCAAGCATTAGAATCTGGGCTTGTTTAAACTGCTTAGAGTTTGCAAGGCCCATTCTCTCTACAGTACCTTGTTGCTTCTTCTTTCTCAAAAGTTGTTTCGTTCAGTTGACGATGATCATTTTTGCCGCGTCTGCCTTTCTTTGTTTCTCCAGTGAGCAAAGGAAGAAGAAACAGAAGGCCAGGCTTGCGCTATGTGAAAAGAATAAGAGCATTTATGCATTTGTTCTCCGACTTTATCGCTGATGCACTGTGCAAACAGAATGTGATTAAAATATAACCTTAGCTGCCTTGCTGGAGGGTGGAGTTTAATTGAACAGTCACATAAGCCAAAGGTTGACCAGTGTCAACTCAGGTCCACATAATGATCATATTCTTGTGTTCTGGGGTATTCGTCTCTCTTACTGTGTAGGTGGGTGTAGTTTTGTAATGCATGCTCTTAATCAGCCACTAACCCTGTAACTTTCTTAGACTTTGCTCATGCCACTCAAACCAGGGATGGTGAACCTCAGGCCCGGAGGCCAAAGGTTCTCTCTTTGGGACAGAGGTAACTTGGCTGCTGTATTCCATTCACTGGTAACCTCCAGATTGGATTATTGCAATGTGCTCTACACGTGGGGTGTGATGGAAAAGTTTGGTTTTGCTGGGCAGGTTGAGTCCCCAAGTGTTTTCTTTTTCCCGGCCAGCAAATGGTTAATGTAATAATAATATTATAATAATTTATTATTTATACCCCACCCATCTGGCTGGGTTTCCCCAGCCACTCTGGGCGGCTTCCAACCGAATTAAAAAAGAACATAGTGTCAGACATTAAAAACTTCCCTAAACAGGGACGCCTTCAGTTGTCTTTTAAAACTAAAATAATTCTTTATTGCCTCAACATCTGCTGGGAGGGCGTTTCACAGGGCAGGCGCCACTACCGAGAATTGGCCAAGGTTCCAGAGGAGGGTGGGGTTTGAAAAGGAGGGGATTTGGAGAGACAGTTAGATTTGGAGAGACAGAGAGGAGAGAGAGAGAGTTGGTTCTGGGTAGAAACATCCACTATGAGGAAAATATCACAAGCTAGAGAAAGGAGTCTCTGAGTTTAGTGTGAAGGACAGTGTGTGGTGTCCTGTAGGAGTAATTAGGCCAGGAATTAACTGGGAGGCTGAGGCTGAGCCAGGAGAAGTAGAAGCTGGAAAGATACAGTCTACTTAGGTCTCATTCCAGTCAGTAGGGGAGAGATTCTGCTACAAAAAGAGAAGACTCCCAAACCAGTTAAGAGGGGTGTGGTGATCCTTGGGTCTGTTACTTGGAGTACCTCAGGAGTAGGGTTGTCTAAGGGGTGTGTAACTGGCAGAAAATACCACCGTGTTTAAGAACCAAAGTATTGTTTAAGAACCAAAGTATTAAGCGGCAACAGCTGTGCAACATCTGAGAAAGCATTGAAGTGAAATAACATCATAATCTGAAGTATCCTGTTTCACCCACTTGTGTCATAAACTTCCTTTGTTAAATAAATTCTTTATTGGTTTTTTTGAACAAATCCTCCCTGAGACTCCAAATTATTAAGTTTTCCCTCACGCAAGTCCCCCACAAAATAATATGAGGTAGTTTGTGGGAATTCGGGGAAGAGGTGGGTGCACTATATTTCAGTGAAGTAAGGGCCCAATGGGACCATTGAGCTGTCCCATGGGACTCCCCTGAAAATGACTCAGAAGCTTCAGTTGGTCTTAAACACAGCAGCCAGATTACTGGTCTTGCTCAGCACTAACACGTGGCCCCCAGAAGAGAATGTGGCCCTTGAGTTGAGAAAGCCAGACCCCCACACACCTTAAACAGCTGCAGTTATCAGGCATGTTTAAACAGTTAAACAGAATAACCTATCACTGCCCTTTGCCCCTTGTTCTCCAAGAGATCTGCGAGAGATGAGGACTGATACCCAAGTGGTCATAGGTCAGGAAGCTATCGGAAAGCAGGGTGAAGCGGCAAATAACCAAAACAAGATAGTTCACTTGGAAGAGCTGGAGGGCTTTGCTGAGGATCCGTCACCTCTATCAAGGGTAAGCAAATCAAGAATTTCCTGACTTTTGAAGACCGCCTTGAATTACCCAGTTTTAAAACTATTCCTACAACATCTGTTTTTAGAGATGTAAGGACTAAAAGCTAAAACTGGCAGACTTCAGCCTGCAGGTGCAAAATCTGTAGAAGCATCGCCACCAGGTTTTGCTTAAAGTTACTTATTGTTTCCCAGCTTGAGCTCAAGGTAACCATTCCTGCGAATTTGTAGTTGGTTGTGCACAGCTCTGACTGGCTAGAACCAGTATCGTCATTAAGCCAGCTCCCCAGATGCATTTCCCCACTATTTTAGAATTTGTTATAGTTTATTATCAGTAAGTTGGAGTATTATAATAATTGTACACTTAGCCTCTAAAAATACAGGGGATACAGGACAGTGGTTAGAGGGCTGGGCTAGGACCTGGAAGACCAGGGTTCGAATCCCCATTGGGCCATGAAGCTCACTGGGTGACTTTGGGTCAGTCACTGCCTTTCAGCCTTACCTACCTCAAAGGGTTGTTGTGGGGATTAAATGAGGAGGAGAGAGCACCCTGAGCTCCCGGGGGTGAGGATATTAAATAAATACATACATATGCACATACTTAGAACACCTGAAGTATGGAGAGAGGGAGGAAACAACTGATTGGTTCTGCATTCAGTTCACTCATTAGTACTTCTGTCACTTGTATTCCAAACTCAGGAGGAAGCCTGGCTCATGGTGGGGGTGGAAAGTAGGGATCCACTGTGACTACTTTTCTTGTTCTTCAAATATTTCTATGTGCCCTTAACAGGCCAGACTGTCTCCACAGTCTCGTTGCTGAGCAACAAAGTGCAGAGCTCAGTGGAGTGGGAAGCCAGCCAAACTAGAAGAGTCTTTGAGATCTACTTGCCTGGGCACATCTGAAGTCAGATATAATAATAATAATAATAATTTATTATTTATACTCCGCCCATCTGGCTGGGTTTCCCCAGCCACTCTGGGCGGCTTCCAAAAAAATATTAAAATACTGTAATACATCAAACATTAAAAACTTCCCTAAACAGGGCTGTCTTCAGATGTCTTCTAAAAGTCTGGTAGTTGTTGTTCTCTTTGACATCTGGTGGGAGGGCATTCTACAGGGAGGGCGCCACTACCGAGAAGGCCCTCTGCCTGGTTCCCTGTAACTTGGCTTCTCGCAGTGAGGGAACCACCAGAAGGCCCTCGGTGCTGGACCTCAGTGTCCGGGTAGAACGATGGGGGTGGAGACGCTCCTTCAGATATACTGGACCGAGGCCGTTTAAAGGTCAGCACCAACACTTTGAATTGTGCTCGGAAACGTACTGGGAGTCAATGTAGGTCTTTCAAGACCGGTGTTATATGGTCTCGGCGGCTGCTCCCAGTCACCAGTCTAGCTGCCGCATTCTGAATTAGTTGTAGTTTCCAGGTCACCTTCAAAGGTAGCCCCACGTAGAGAGCATTGCAGTAGTCCAAGCGGGAGATAACCAGAGCATGCACCACTCTGGCGAGGCAGTCCGCAGGCAGATAGGGTCTCAGCCTACGTACCAGATGGAGCTGGTAAACAGCTGCCCTGGACACAGATTTAACCTGTGCCTCCGTGGACAGTTGTAGTCCAAAATGACTCCCAGGCTGCGCACCTGGTCCTTCAGGGGCACAGTTACCCTATTCAGGACCAGGGAATCCTCCACACCTGCCCGCCTCCTGTCCCCCAAAAACAGTACTTCTGTCTTGTCAGGATTCAACCTCAATCTGTTAGCCGCCATCCATCCTCCAACCGCCTCCAGACACTCACACAGGACCTTCACCGCCTTCACTGGTTCTGATTTAAAAGAGAGGTAGAGTTGGGTATCATCCACATACTGATGAACACCCAGCCCAAACCCCCTGATGATCTCTCCCAGAGGCTGCATGTAGATGTTGAAAAGCATGGGGGAGAGGACAGAACCCTGAGGCACCCCACAAGTGAGAGCCCAGGGGTCTGAACACTCATCCCCCCCCCCACTTTCTGAACACGGCCCAGGAGGAAGGAGCGGAACCACTGTATGACAGTGCCCCCAGCTCCCAGCCCCTCAAGACGGTCCAGAAGGATGTTATGGTCGATGGTATCAAACGCCGCTGAGAGATCCAGCAGAACTAGGAAACAGCTCTTAGCTTTGTCCCTAGCCCGCCGGAGATCATCAACCAGTGCGACCAAGGCAGTTTCAGTCCCATGATGAGGCCTGAATCCCGACTGGAAGGGATCCAAATGGTCCGCTTCTTCCAGGTGTGCCTGGAGTTGTTCAGAAACCACTCGCTTAATCACCTTGCCCAAGAATGGAAGATTTGAGACTGGGCGATTGTTGGCCATCGTGGCCGCATCTAAAGATGGTTTTTAAAGAAGCGGTTTAATAACCACCTCTTTCAGCGGGTCTGGGAAGGCTCCCTCACGGAGGGAAGCATTCACCACCCCACGAAGCCCATCGCCCAGACCTTCCCGGCTAGCTTTTATAAGCAAGGATGGGCAAGGATCAAGGAGACAGGTGGTTGGTTTCACTCGTCCAAGCAGCCTGTCCACATCCTCGGAGGTAACAGATTGGAATTGATCCCACGCAACTTGACTAGACAGGACTCTAGCACTCTCCCGCCCCAGCCCTGCTCCCACGGTGGAGTCTACCTCTTCCCAAATCTGAGCGACTTTATCTGCAAAAAACTTTGCAAAATCATTGCAGGAGATCATGTGGCCCGTACTGGCCCCCATGTAGCAGGTGGTTCCGCTAAATTGCGAACCACCTCAAAAAGTCTCTTGCTGCTGTTTTCTACAGATGCAATAGAGGCGGTGAAGAAAGTCTTCTTCGCCGTCGCTACCGCCACTTGGTAGGCTCGACATTGAGCTCTAACCCGTGTCCGGTCAGCTTCAGAATGAGTTATCCACCACCGGTGCTCTAGCCATCTCAACGATTGTTTCATTGCCCTCAGATCCGTGGAAAACCACGGGGCTGTCCTGGGGTTGGGTGAACAGCAATCTGCGTGGTCAGATAGATGGTCCAGGGGGTCAGGGAATCTGATGATCAGGGGGTCAAGACCAGCAGGAAGCAGAAAGGTATGGCCAGGAACTACAAGCGTTGTCACCAGCATCTGACTGCTGCTGGAAGCTCTGCTTAAGAAGGTTGATGCCGGCTGGTTATCATCAGAGCCTTCTCCTCCGTATCCCTGAAGGCTGATCAGCTGCAGGTGGAGTCACTCCCCCCTCAGGCTGTTGTGCACAGGTGAAGCTGATTCCTGGCCCACGACAAAAACTCTGAATCAACATCTTAGCTGGGCACAGTATTACCCAAGTACAAGTAGATTCAGAGCTGATGAAGCAGCTGGGCCAAAGCCGAAAGGACGCTCAGTTGCGGATATGCCTGGAAGCGAAAGGAAAGTCCAATGCTGTAAAGAAAAATATTGCATAGGAACCTGGAATGTAAGAACCATGAACCTTGGTAAGTTGGATGTGGTCAAAAATGAGATGGCAAGAATAAATATTGACATCCTGGGCATCAGTGAACTAAAATGGACAAGAATGGGCGAATTCAGTTCGGATGACCATCATATCTACTACTGTGGGCAAGAATCCCGTAAAAGAAATGGAGTGGCCCTCATAGTCAACAAAAGAGTGGCAAAAGCTGTACTGGAATGCAATCTCAAAAATGATAGAATGATCTCGATACGAATCCAAGGCAGACCTTTTAACATCACAGTAATCCAAGTTTATGCACCAACCACTGGTGCTGAAGAAACTGAAATCGACCAATTCTATGAAGACTTACAATACCTTATAGAAATGACACCAAAGAAGGATGTTCTTCTCATTATATGGGATTGGAATGCTAAAGTAGGGAATCAAGAGATAAAAGGAACAACTGGCAAGTTTGGCCTTGGAGTTCAAAACGAAGCAGGGCAAAGGCTAATAGAGTTCTGCCAAGAGAACAAGCTGGTCATCACAAACACACTTTTCCAACAACACAAGAGATGACTCTACACATGGACATCACCAGATGGGCAGCATAGAAATCAGATTGATTATATTCTCTGCAGCCAAAGATGGAGAAGCTCTATACAGTCAGCAAAAACAAGACCTGGAGCTGACTGTGGCTCAGATCATCAGCTTCTTATAGCAAAATTCAAGCTTAAACTGAAGAAAGTAGGAAAAACCACTGGGCCGGTGAGATACAATCTAAGTCAAATCCCTTATGAATACACAGTGGAAGTGAGGAACAGGTTTAAGGATTTAGATTTGGTGGACAGAGTGCCTGAAGAACTATGGATGGAGGCTCGTAACATTATACAGGGGGCAGCAACTAAAACCATCCCAATGAAAAGGAAATGCAAGAAAGCAAAGTGGCTGTCCAATGAGGCCTTACAAATAGCGGGGGAGAGAAGGCAAGCAAAATGCGAGGGAGATAGTGAAAGATACAGGAAATTGAATGCAGATTTCCAAAAAATAGCAAGGAGAGACAAGAAGGCCTTCTTAAACGAGCAATGCAAAGAAATAGGGGGAAACAATAGAACGGGAAAAACCAGAGATCTGTTCAAGAAAATTGGAGATATGAAAGGAACATTTCATACAAAGATTACCATAATAAAAGACAAAAGTGGAAAGGACCTAACAGAAGCAGAAGACATCAAGAAGAGGCGGCAAGAATACACAGAGGAACTATACCAGAAAGAAATGGATGCCTTGTATACCCCAGGTAGTGTGGTTGCTGACCTTGAGCCAGACATCCTGGAGAGTGAAGTCAAATGGGCCTTAGAATAATAATAATAATAATAATAATAATAATAATAATAATAATTAATAATAATAAATTTTATTTATTATAAAGCACTGCTAATAACAAGGCCAGTGGAAATGATGATATTCCGGCTGAACTATTTAAAATTTTAAAAGATGATGCTGTTAAGGTGCTACACTCAATATGCCAGCAAATTTGGAAAACTCAGCAGTGGCCAGAGGATTGGAGAAGATCAGTTTACATCCCAATCCCAAAGAAGGGCAGTGCCAAAGAATGCTCCAACTACCGCACAATTGCACTCATTTCACACGCTAGCAAGGTTATGCTTAAAATTCTACAAGGCAGGCTTAAGCAGTATGTGGACTGAGAACTCCCAGAAGTGCAAGCTGGATTTCGAAGGGGCAGAGGAACCAGAGACCAAATTGCAAACATGCGCTGGATTATGGAGAAAGCTAGAGAGTTTCAGAAAGACGTCTACTTCTGCTTCATTGACTATGCAAAAGCCTTTGACTGTGTCGACCACAGCAAACTATGGCAAGTTCTTAAAGAAATGAGAGTGCCTGATCACCTCATCTGTCTGCTGAGAAATCTCTATGTGGGACAAGAAGCTACAGTTAGAACTGGATATGGAACAACTGATTGGTTCAAAATTGGGAAAGGAGTACGGCAAGGCTGTATATTGTCTCCCTGCTTATTTAACTTATGTGCAGAATTCATCATGCGAAAGGCTGGGCTGGATGAATCCCAAGCCGGAATTAAGATCGCCGGAAGAAATATCAGCAACCTCAGATATGCAGACGACACAACCTTGATGGCAGAAAGTGAGGAGGAATTAAAGAACATTTTAATGAGGATGAAAGAGGAGAGCGCAAAATATGGTCTGAAGCTCAACATCAAAAAAACGAAGATCATGGCCACTGGGCCCTTTACATCTTGGCAAATAGAAGGGGAAGAAATGGAGGCAGTGAGAGATTTTACTTTCTTGGGCTCCATGATCACTGCAGATGGTGACAGCAGCCACGAAATTAAAAGATGCCTGCTCCTTGGGAGAAAGGCGATGGCAAACCTAGACAGCATCTTAAAAAGCAGAGACATCACCTTGCCAGCAAAGGTCCGTATAGTTAAAGCCATGGTTTTCCCAGTAGTGATGTATGGAAGTGAGAGCTGGACCATCAAGAAGGCTGATTGCCAAAGAATAGATGCTTTTGAATTATGGTGCTGGAGGAGACTCTTGAGAGTCCCATGGACTGCAAGAAGATCAAACGTATCCATTCTTAAGGAAATCAGCCCTGAGTGCTCACTGGAAGGACAGATCGTGAAGCTGAGGCTCCAATACTTTGGCCACCTCATGAGAAGACTCATGAGACTCATGAGATTTGCTGAGGCAGCTTTGAAAATAAGAAAGGAGGATCTAATGGTAGGAGGAGCCACTGCTAAGTTGCTAAGCTCTGGACTAGAAGTTCTGCTATACCTTGGTACCTTGGTTTAAGAACAGTCCTGTTGAAGAATGATTCGATTTACAAACTCCACAAAACCGGAAATAGTGTCCCGGTTTTAGAACTTTACCTCGGTCTAAGAACAGAATCCGAACGGTAGAAGGGCACCGCCAGCGGGAGGCCTCATTAGGGAAAGCGTGCCTCGGTTTAAGAACAGTTTTGGTTTAAGAGCGGACTTCCAGAATGGATTAAGTTCATAAACCGAGGTACAACTGTAATATTATTTCTAAAGTTGACACGCAACCATACATACATACAAATGATTTGTTAAACCAACAATAAAGCACCTCCATAATCAAATGGAAGAAGGGTAAAACAGCTAGTAAAGAAGAATAGCTGCAAGTAATAGTGCTATTTCTTAACAATGAGGCTCAAGAAGGGTAATAACACTTCCTAATCTCAATATCCTGTGAGGCCTCAACCGGCATTCCTCTATGGACTGTTCCAGATGACCAGTTTACTGAGCATTCATTCTGATTTGCTTGTACAAATCTATGCAGTGGTTAGACTATGTCTGATCTTCATTGAGAATTTTCCTTCCTGATTTGTTTATGAGGCAATTAAATGACAATGAGCATTGATACTGATCTGTTCCGGTACTCCTCCTAAAAGTCCTATTTCAGATAAAGAAAACTTTATAGGCTGAAGTATTTGTTCAAGGCCATCTTGGCAAGCAAGCTATCAACTGAATCATGTTTTTATGTAGTTTTTCAATTTCATTGTTCTGCATGGGACAATGACAATAAAGATATCGTATGTCTCTCAGATCAAAGTCCAAAATTACATTTTGTGATCTGTCGCTTACAAACTCTGCTACTTGTATTCTCCTTGAACAAACCTGTGGCACGAGGTGATCTTGTAAAATTATAAATGCAACCTGTCCCATCAGGCCAGAATTATGATGAGACATAGGCCCCCAGCAAATGAAAATAAGGCATTAAGATTTAAAATTCGGCTACACAATAATCTAATCAAATTTGCATCATGCACCGTGCCTGATTTTTAAATATCTGAATGAATACAACTCCCATTAAGTCAATAACCACCGCAGACCTGATAAACATAATTTTTAATACTGTAGCCCACTCTTTGCCCGATAAAGGTTCCCGGAATTTATTATTGTTTTAATTTTATTTTAGACCACCTCTGTGCTGCTGAATATACAAAATAAATCTTAAGCAGTGTACAGCAAATTTTAAAAACACAAGCATTACAGAAATATACAAAAAATGAGTATAAATCAATACAAGGGTAATAAATACAAACTGATCTGATTAAGTTGGCAAAATATTTTGGTGAAAATATCCAACTATCAGCATGGGAAAGATTATGGAATAAAGAATAAAATAAAGAATGGAAATTTACGGCCTGTTATACACTAAAAGAAATTCTTTTGAAGATGTTTTACAGGTGGTATATAACTCCCAGCAAACTATCCAAAATGTATAAAATGAGATCTAATATGTGCTGGAGGTGTAAACAGGCAGAGGGGACACTGTTTCATATGTGGTGGGGTTGCAAAAAAATTAAGAATTTTTGGAATGTCAATCTCATTCAGGATAGTATACCCTGACTGGCAGCAGCTCTCCAGGGTTTCAGACTGCAAGTCTCTCCCAGTCCTACCTGGCGATGCTAGGGATTGAACCTGCGACCTTCTGCATGCCAAGCAGATGTTCTGCTACTGGGCTAAAGCCCAAGGGGTGGAGAGACAAATGGGTAGATAGCACAGTTGTGTTGCCTCCACAAACCAGCAAGAAGACCCTTGACAGCTTTCAGCAGAGGGTGTTGGTCTTGCCACTCCACCACCTTGCAGTTTCCTGCTCCTTCTCACAGATTCATCCTCATGCGCCTTCCTAATCTGTCTGTTTTGCGCAATCTAATCTTGCAACAAAGCTTGGTGTCTTCCCATCCCGTCCCATTTTCAATAATTTGCTCTGGTTGATTCTGGAACTTGGTCTCACTTCCTCTTAGAGGCTAAATCACATGTGACACAGACATCCTGGTGCAGTGTGTTTTTTATATATATAAATGAAAAGGTGGGGGGAGCTAAACATTTGATTGCACCTAAAGTGCTGGTGGGGGAAATGCTTAATACTTTCCTGGGAATTAAGAACATGGTGACATTAGGTTCTTTTGTAAGAACGTATGGATTTATGGATGTTTTTGTTATTATTTTATCACTTTTGTTAATTTCTTGTGTGTGTTTGTTAACTAACTAATAAGAAGCATATTTTTTAAAAGAACATGAAAAAATACATACATACATACATACTGATATCAATACCATAATAGAGTATGGATGCTACTATCTTCTAGCTCCCCTTCCCACTCAATATCTCTCTCATCCTCCTGGCTTTTACTCAGAAATCTACCTATCCATCCTGGCTCCAACACAGGGCTCAAAAGCTCACAGGTCACCCCAAAATATGTCACACTTACAAAATTCAGTAATAAGACAGTCCCTGCCCCATGGCAGACCCAGTACATTTTGTCATTTGAGGCAAAACAATAAACCACACGCACCCTGCCACCACCGCCTCCTCCTTCAGAGACCCACCCTGTGTGCTGAAGGAGGAAAGGGAGAAAAAAGAGGTCAAATCTGCCGCCAAGAGTTGCCTGCCTCTCTCATAAGCAGGCAGGCCCTGTTGGGATACTGCCAGGGAGACAAAGTCCATCATGGCCCCCAAGCTGCCTCCGGACGTCCATCGATCTCCCGTAGACACGCAGTATCATTCAATTAGCGACACAAGCTTCCAGAAATAGCTTGCCACATTCCAGAGCTCATGCACGCTCTATCAGCAGATAATGCACAGCGAAAGATGCACTCAGGAGAGCATTATTTACAAGTTTATTCAGCGTTGGTCAGAACAAAGAAAACATGACTGCCTGCTTCGGTGTCTCAGACACAGAGAGAGAAACGAAAGCAATAGACAAAACATAAACTTCCTGTGAACAGGAAATACGCAGACTCTGTGACTCACAAAGCCTGCTCCCTTTTAAGGTGGAACGGAAATATCCTAACAGGCCCTGCCATGCCCTTTGACTTACAACCTACAACAGATGATGTACAGGAAAAAGGGATTGAGAAGGAGGAGCACAGTGGAATATAACTGGACTTAGAATGTCTGTCCAAGGGCCCGTTCGGATGTTCCATAAAGGTCTCTTCCCTATTCATAGGTTGTGCTTCTTCTTACACAGTGAGAATATCCTCCAACATTTCACTCATGAAAACAGGGACATCATATTCAATAATATTAATAATAATATTTATACATTGCCCATCTGACTGGGTTGCCTCAGCCACTCTGGGCAGCTTCTGACATATATAAAAACATAATAAAACATTTAAAGAACTTCCCTATACAGAGCTGCCTTCAGATGTCTTCTGAAAGTTGCTTAGTTACTTATCTCCTTGGCTTGGGGATTGCATAACTCCATACCCTCCAACATTTCTGATGAAACTAGGGAAATTCTAAGGAAAAGATGACGCAACTTTGAGAAGAAGAAGAAGAAGAAGAAGAAGAAGAAGAAGAGGAGTTTGGATTTGATATCCCGCCTTTCACTCCCTTTTAAGGAGTCTCAAAGCGGCTAACATTCTCCTTTCCCTTCCTCCCCCACAACAAACGCTCTGGGCAGCTCACAATAAAGTATTAAAAGCAATACAGCGTTAAATATTAAAAACTTCCCTGAACCTTCAGATGTCTTTTAGAGATAGAATAGCTACTTATTTCCTTCACATCTTGGCAGAAAGTGAGGAGGAAGTAAAGAACCTCTTAATGAGGGTGAAAGAGGAGAGTGCAAAATATGGTCTGAAGCTCAACATAAAAAAAAAACCAACTAAGATCATGGCCACTGGTCCCATCACCACCTGACAAATAGAAGGGGAAGAAATGGAGGCAGTGAGATATTTTACTTTCTTGGGCTCCATGATGACAGCAGTCACGAAATTAAAAGACGCCTGCCTCTTTGGAGAAAAGCAATGACAAACCTAGACAGCATCTTAAAAAGCAGAGACAACACCTTGCCAACAAAGGTCCGTATAGTTAAAGTAGTGATGTATGGAAGTGAGAGCTGGACCATAAATAAGGCTGATCGCTGAAGAATTGATGCTTTTGAATTATGGTGCTATAGGAGACTCTTGAGAGTCGCATGGACTGCAAGAAGATCAAACCTACCCATTCTTAAGGAAATCAGCCTAACAGTGCTCACTGGAAGGACAGATCGTGAAGCTGAGGCTCCAATACTTTGGCCACCTCATGAGAAGACTCACTGGAAAAGACCTTGATGTTGGGAAAGATTGAGGGCACAAGGAGAAGGGCACGACAGAGGACGAGATGGTTGGACAATGTTCTCGAAGCTACTAACATGAGTTTGACCAAACTGTGGGAGGCAGTGGAAGACAGGAGCGCCTGGCGTGCTCTGGTCCATGGGGTCACGAAGAGTCGGACACGACTAAACAACAACAAGGGAAAGCGTGACATTCCGTGATCACATCAGAAACCGTGACGGTTTGGTCCATGTCCTGATGTTTATCAGTGTGTAACGCAGAGGTGGCACCAGTTAGGAGATTTGACTTGCAGCGATGTGGGCCAGAAGTAAAGCAGCAAGTTGGAGAGCAATTACTGATTTCTAATTAAATCCAAGGCTGAGGCTATGGGAGGAACAAGACCCCTTTGGCAGGTCAGTACTATGAACCCTCCATTGCAGGCTCAGGTTGTATATATGTGTAAATAAACCCTATATCGTACAGACAGCAGAGACTCCGCTGTGCCTCATTCCAAAAGGAAACATAAACCCTGGGTCTGCGTCTGAAACCCCTGGAATCTTGCACCGCTTGGTTGTGTTATCTTATAGCTGCAAATGGCTTAGAAGCTGTTTTGGCACATTAGTGGTACATATCAAAATAAATACAATCTGATAGAGTGCAGCAGCAGGAGAGAAAAAAACAGCTCCCTGGAAAAAGGGGGTGGGAAGTTGACAAAAATAAGAGAAAAGACGAAATTGTGTTAATAGAAATGGAGAGTTGGAAGGACCCAAGGGTCATCTAGTCCAGGCTTCCTCAACTTCGGACCTCCAGATGTTTTTGGCCTACAACTCCCATGATCCCTAGCTAGCAGGACCACTGGTCAGGGATGATGGGAACTGTAGTCTCAAAACATCTGGAGGGCCGAGTCGAGGAACCCTGATCTAGTCCAACACCCTGCAATGCAGGAATCTCAGCTAAAGCATCCATGACAGATCGAACCTGGATGTTGTAAATACAGTACAGTGTTTTGGCTGTATATGTTAAAAATGTTGAAACATAATGAAACATAATTGAAAAATAAATACATAAAACCTAATATTTAGGAATCAGTTTTATGCTAAACTGTCCTCCAACTCTTACCGAGTTCGTCTTCATCCTATACAGTGGTATCTCAGGTTACATATGCTTCAGATTACATACACTTCAGGTTACAGACTCCGCTAACCCAGATATAGTGCTTCAGGTTAAGAACTTTGCTTCAGGATGAGAACAGAAATCGGGCCCCAGCGGCGTGGCAGCAGCAGGAGGCCCCATTAGCTAAAGTGGTGCTTCACGTTAAGAACAGTGTCAGGTTAAGTACAGACCTCCGGAACGAATTGAGTGCTTAACCTGAGGTACCACTGTATTCTGATTCAGTTCTCTGAGTGCTATTGCTTATGTAGCCACAATGACGCCAGCCAAAGGGCGGCACTGAGATGCATTGCCAGAACTGGAGTAACCAGCTCGTTAAAGTACAAAAAAACCCCAACCTAAAAGTTCTAAATAAAACATGACACACTTTGCACTTTCTAACAAGCCTAGATAGGGAATGAGCATGTTCTGTACCCACGCAAATAATGCTGACAGGAAGAGACCCGTAAATCAAGTGGGAGGGATAAAAAATGGAGTAGCCGGGAAAGAAACACCCAGTTATATAAAAGGCTGCCGAGAAGGACTTTGCTTTCCTTGCTAGCTCAGCTTCTGGTACGACTTGAGCCTCGCGTTTATTTCTCCCCTCCTAGCGCAAGAAGCATTTGAAGCGCAATTTTTTAAAGAGTCGCACAGCGATTGCATTTGATTCCGCCACCCCACCCCCACCCCGTCTCCACTTTCCATTGCCTACGAAAGAAAGCACGAGTTTGAACGATCACGAACTTCTGCCTTTCCCCTTTAAAAAACTTTCCCCGATTCACTTGCCGAGAAACTGCGGCTGCTACGCGAAGCAGCGCAAAGCGATCAGGAAATCCGGCCTGCAAGCACAGGGGTCGCTCCCCGGGAGCTTGCACATGTCTGACTCGCTTGCGTCTCTTTCTTCTTTCTCTGGGAAGCCATCGCCGGCCGGAAAGGGGGCGCGATTGCCATCTGGGTTTTGCTGCAGACCGGCTGGAGTGAGCGGGATCCGGGCCCGGAAAGCAGAAGCGAGCCGGCGGAACTTTCGGAGACGTTGGCGGTAAGAAAGGAGACGTGGGTGGGGGAAAGATGGGGGAGGGCGTTTTATGCTGCTTTCAGTCGTCTTTCGGGGTGGGGGTAGGGTAGCTCATGAAATCCGCATTTTTCTGTTATCCCGAGCGATTGGAAACAAGGACAAGGCTCCTTGCCTTTGCTTCTCGCTCTCTGAAACCTAAACAAGCATCGAAACAACAGGGGGAGTCTTTCGGCAGCGCCTTAAAGACATCACGGGATTTTGTGTACGCACCGTCGGATGCCTGGGTGAGCGGCAGCCTACCAGTCAGATTTATAGACAGGGGAACATCGAATGGCACTGGGAGGCAAGGTGATGGATTTCCAGAGCATAAGAAGTTCATTAAACAAGCATTTGCAGGAGTGGGTTGGTGATCCGCGGTCACCAAAGCTCAGCCACGCCCTACGATCTGCCCTGCGCAGATAAGAGGAAAAATCGGGACAAGGAGAGCCCCCGGAGGATGGACGGGGCTGCGCTGCAGTCTGTGGGTTTGTAGATTTGTAGGGCGACTGTCTAACCACGTGCAGTGCAGGATTCTCAACGGACGCCTCCATGACAGATGGCCACGTGGAGGGAGATAAGGAAGGGATGGCTCATCAGTGGAAGATGGGAAGTGGCTCAAAATGGTTAAGGGTCGGGATGAGTATGCAAATAGAGTTTGAAACTGAAAGTGTGTACAGTATATAGTACTGAGGTCAAGCTGCCTCTTAAAATGGCAAACAAACAAACAAACAAACAGTACAACATCCACACAAAACCTTTGGCAGTATTTCACAATATGGGGCTCTCTGAGTGGCAAAATGGATCTTCTCAATAATGGGCCTTCTCTATTTTGCACCCCCTCGGCTCGATTGGCACCCTGTGTGGGAGAACCGCCTACACCAACCTAAATCTGAAGAAAACATTCCCCATCTTGGAAAGCATTTGCAGATACTGTGCTGTATTAGATTTCAGGATCTGAACTGCGGTGCAATGCTCCAGATGGTCAAGCTGTGCTGGCTCTGTTTCTGCAGGAATAGTGTAGTGCAGGAATGGGGATCTGTTGGCCTCCAGGTGGTGGACTGCAACTCTCCTCAGCCCCAGCCAGCACGCCCAAGGGTCAGGGATGATGGGAGTAGTCCAATTACTTCTTGATGGACTCCAATGTCATCAGTCCCCTCCAGCAGGAAGTCACTGTGCTGGCTACTTTTTCTTATTTTGATGAGAAACACCCACCTATTTTAAGGTGTGCTGTCCTGCCTTCAGTTATTGCATGAGTCATTCCAGCACTTTAACTTGGCAGGGATGAAATCTTAGATGGTGTGGTGTGGAAAACAGTGCAAAGCTTTTGCTGCTGTCTAGTTTCCTCCATGCCCAAGGATCACATTTCCTCTCATGCCAGGGACAGATAATAGATTCAGATGTCATTCATTATAGTCCTAACAATGCAGTTGGTTCACGTTCTATAGCCTGTGCTTTGGGAAAAAGCTTAGCGTGACTCATTCTAAATTAACCACTTTGGATGCATGTGATGAAGCAAAGATTTGTTGCGGTTCATATCTAAGATTTACGGTTTGCCTCAGCTTGGCTTCACTTGTCTCTTCAAGTTAAAACATTTTTGCTTTCTGTCCTCCATTATCTGCAGGCATTTCTGCACAGACTTGGAAGAAACTCATCTCTTTCTTTCTCTCAACCAAATTCACCCCACCCCATTTCCTTTAATATCTCCTTCTGTTCAATGTACCAAACAGAATTTTCTGCATATGACATACTTTGGTAGCAAGCATTAGCCCTTTCCCTGTGCTTTTATGAGCATCTTGTTCTTGCAGAGGTTACCAGGTCTTAGGGTTTGTCTGCATGCCACAAACTTGCAGATTTTTGCAGATCAAGTTGCTATTACAGGCACAGGAACAGGCAATGCTGACCTTTCTCTAGACACCTGGTAACCCATTACCTAAATTAATCAATCTCCTTTTATTTGTTTGAGAACAGGAACTCCATGCTCTTCTCTAGCTTACTAACAGTGGGCCTCCTGAACCAGAAGTCCCATAATATTCAACTTTTTATGTCATTTATTGCATTTGTATACAGTGGTACCTTGGTTTACAACCATAATCCGCTCCGGAGGTCCATTTGTAAACCAAAACAGGTTGTAGCCCAAGGCGCGCTTTCGCCAATGTGGCCTCCAAAAGAATTTTGTTTGTAATCCAAAAAAAATGGGTTGTAATCCAAAAAAAGGTTGCAAACCCGGACACGCACTTCCGGGTTTGACGTGTTTGTAATCTAACACGTATGCAAACCAAGACATATGCAAATCAAGGTACCACTGTACTGCCTTTCTGCCAAGGCACCCAAGGCAGTTAACAATTTAAAAATACTAAAACAAATAAATTATATAAAGTATAGAGTGACAGAGTCCTCTCAGACTGGCTGGGGCCAATGGGGCATGCTCCCTGGCCTGGTCTCCCTCACTTCTGAAGGTCAGGGATGATGGGAATTGTAGTCCTAAACATCTGGAGGGCTGGAGTTTGCCTATGCCTGCCGTAGAGTAAGCTGTCCTACCAGGCACTCTCCTTATCTTGGGAGGAAATAGGTAATCAAGCCTATGTTCCCCGCAGTCTACCTAAGAAGTTCAATGTGTGAAGAGGTTTGAACCGGTTGCTCCAGCTTAGACCACATGGCTCCCGCCAGCCTCTCTTGAGTTCCTATACCAATAATTTAGGAACCTACCCTACTTTGTAGCTAAGCCAAGGTTTACTGCCTGTGCAATTTTGTGAAGCACATGAATATGACCTTTGAAGCATTGGTAAGTAAACAATTTTTAAACTTACCAAACGTGTGGTATTTTTTGTATGCTGAGGGAAGAGGGAAACTTTAGAAAGAAACTTACCATATTTTCAAAACTAGGCATCTGCTGTGCATCTTTTTCCAGGGGTTTCATCACTTGAAAAGAAAGCACTGGGTCATTTTCCATTTTGGAAAATGTTCCACTTTACATCACAGCTTGAAAGGGGATGGGGTGGGGAAGCATTTCTGTGATATTTATTCTGTCCTATCAGTGCGCATCACATGTTCAGAGTAATATAAGAAAAGAAAAAGAGGTCCTATCCCTAGGGAGCTTACAGTCTAACTTCTAACTGTGGGAGACAGCAGGAGAAGGGAATGGAGAGGAAAGAATAAAGGGATGAGTGCAGTTATGCAGATTCAAGTTTTATTAAGGAATGTATATGCTGCCTTGGGGGGGGGGAGCTCTCTAAAGGCAGCTTACAAAACATAATGAAAACAATATAAAACAACTTTTAAAAAATGCATATTAAAAAATCAATTAGGAAGCTAAAGCAGCTGCAGTTTAAAAACTAGCACAACACTTTTTAGTAAAATGCAAATTGAAACTAAAACAGTTTAAAAGTCCTTTTTAAGAGCTAGCGAAAGTGGGGGCCCACCATGCACAATTCCTTCAATAGAGAGTTCCAGAGATACGGGGCCAGAACTGAAAAAGTTCTTTCCAGTCTGCTGGAACTTGATGGGAGGCCTCTGAGGCTGCTGCTCCTAAGGCCCAGGCAAATTGATTCAACCAGCAAAGAGAACTGCAAACAAGTCTCCAACAATGAGGAGGATAAATAAACAGAAGCAAAAGCTAACATGTGTTGCCGCCCTCCAGACTTCTTGTCAAAGAAGCACACGAAGAAGGGCCTCAGATGATGATCGCAGGGTCTGGGTCGGTTCATATTCAGCGAGAAATGATCCTTGAGTTATTGCGGTCCTGAGCCATTTAAGGCTTTATAGGGTCAAAACCAGCACTTTGAATTGGGCCCATAAATTAATTGGCAGCCAAGCAGTCAGGCCAAGATTGGCATTATATGCTCAAGGATCTTCTTGCCCTAGTGAGCAACTTGGCCACTGAATTCTGCACCAGCTGAAGTTTCCAAACTGTCTTCAGAGGCCGCCCCACATGTAATGCATTGTAGTAATCTAACATAGAGATTACCAGAGTGTAGAGGAAGTTAGACTATCCATGTCCAGACAGGGGCATGGCTGGACCACCAGCCAAAGCTGATGGAAGGCATTCTGTGCCACTGAGGACACCTGAGCCTCAACCAACAGCATTGGATCCAAATAAACCCCCAAGCTGTGTACCCATCAAGGGCAGGAAGAACCACTGCAAATAAAAAAAACTGATTTTTTCCCCCCCTGCATCAAGAGTGCTCCCACCACTGGTTTGTTAAGCCATGCACACACGATATTAGCCACAGTCTACAACTATCCTGCATTTTCTTGAGAAAGACTGCTTTTTGAGGTATTTCTCTTCAAAACAGCTTTGCTCTGATTTGAGAACAGAAGCCACATGTGAATGTGGAGAGAACTACCTTACTGTTTTAAGTTGGTAATGTGTGCGCAGCTGTAGCTAAAAACAAGTTGAATCGGCAACAAAATCTTGCAGTGTGGAGTGCTTCACTCCCTGTAAGCCATTCCTCCCATATCTAGTTGTGCATTTCCCCACATACACACACCTGCAAAAAGCAGTGTTTTGTGACCCTCAGCATGCTCAGTCCTCAGTGGGGCATTTTTGGGGTTTCCCCTTAAAGGGTTTTTGTTTTGGTCACCCTAACCCTTCTTTGTACAGTGGTACCTCAGGTTACATACGCTTCAGGTTACAGACTCCGCTAACCCGGAAGTAGTACCTCAGGTTAAGAACTTTGCTTCAGGATGAGAACAGAAATCGTGCGGTGGCGGCGAGAGGCCCCATTAGCTAAAGTGGTACCTCAGCTTAAGAACAGTTTCAGGTTAAGAACACACCTCCGGAACGAATTAAGTTCTTAACCCGAGGTACCACTGTACTCCCCAACCCTTCTTTTGCACCGCCTAACCCTTCTTTTGTACTCCCTAACCCTTCTTTCGTATTCCTACAAACCTGCTAATGTTTCCCTTAGGGGATGTTCATTTGCCTACATAAGCACTAGCACTGAAAGCCTGAACATCAGGGAGGGAATGGTTGACTCAAGAACCTTGTAAAACAACTCTCTGATTTTAGAACTGCTGCTGCTTCCCTACAGTTTAGTGTAACTTCAGCAGAGGGCAGCAAATTCCTTCTTCTGAAAGTAGGCAGTGAGAGAGGCATAGGATGTGAAGCGTGAATGCCTGCAAACTGATTGCCAAATAATATTCATGTTTTTCAAAAAAAGAGAGAGTAGAAAGTGGGGGTTGTAGAAGGTTGATGGAGAAGCCTGGGTGAGAGACAGAGAAATGTCATTCTCCCGGGGTGAGAAGCTGCGAGGAGAAAGGAAAGATCCCAGGTGAGAGTTGGGATAAGTGACTTTAGTCTGCGGGTGTTAAGGGCTAAGAATTATTTTTTAAGAGAGGACTCCATATCCTGCTTATTCTGTTCGTATTTTTTCTAGCTGCTATTTTATTGTACAGTGGTACCTCGGGTTACATACGCTTCAGGTTACAGACTCCGCTAACCCAGAAATATTACCTCGGGTTAAGAACTTTGCTTCAGGATGAGAACAGAAATCATGCTCCAGCGGCGCAGCAGCAGCAGGAGGCCCCATTAGCTAAAGTGGTGCTTCAGGTTAAGAACAGTTTCAGGTTAAAAACGGACCTCCGGAACGAATTAAATACTTAACCTGAGGTACCACTGTATTCTGAAAAACTTTAATAAAAACCTCATACCTGAAAGAGAGAGCGAGGTGAAAATTTTGATTGAAAGCTGAAAATTTTGAATTGGAGGTGGGCAGAAAGACAGAGAATGTTCCACTAAAACAACTGTAAATTTGCTCTCTGCTTGACTTTGTCCCATCTTTGATTTGTACACCACATTGTAAATTTAAAATGCCACTCTGTATTCATTTACTTCAGATTTTCCCCAGTTAAATGCCTTTAATACGTGGTATGGAATTCAGTGGGGTTATAACCATTTTAAGATTGTAGATGTGGAAGGTCCCCCCCCCCCCGATGAATTTTCACCGCCCATCATTCCCTTGTTCTTCAAGTATGATTGTAGATGACTGGAACAAAGGACCAGTGAAACATTGATCCCAGCGCAGTATTGCAACCAGCCACAAAGACTGTTCACATGTTCCATTCGCCAGCAGTAGCATCTTTTCACTTAGTAATGTTTGTGTACTAATCCCACAGCTCTGTAAAGCAGATTATACACAGGAACATAGGAGGCTGCTTTAATGTGAGTCAGGCAGTTTGCCCATCTAGATCAGTGTTTCCCAGACTTGGGTCTTCAGCTGTTTTTGGACTACAGTTCCCATCATCCCTGGTCCTGCTAGCTAGGGATGATGGGAGTTGTAGTCCAAAAAACAGCTGGAGACCCAAGTTTGGGAAACCCCGATCTAGATCAAGGCTGCTTGCGCCAGGGAGGAGGAACACGTGGCCCTCCAGACGTTGCCATACCACAACTCCTTTTTCATCCCTGCCATTTATTATTATTACTACTACTACTAATAATATAATGCCCTATACCCCGAGGTCTCAGGGCAGTTCACAGAATAAAATCAAAATATAAAACCACAAAATACACAATCAAAATAAAAACAACAACCCAATACCCCCTCCCAACCCCCACATTTTAAAAGGGCATAGGATGTCAGGACGAATTTCAGTTTCTTAGGTCAAGACTAGCTCAGTTAGTTAGAGCATGATGCTAATAATGCCAAGGTTGCCGGTTCGATCCTTGTATGTGACAGCTACATATTCCTGCATTGCAGCGGTGTTTTTTACTATCTAATCCTCCCAGTTCTACAAATCTGTGATCCTATGACTAGATGTTACGGAGTCGTTGCAGCTCCGTAGTTTTCATCTCTTCCCCTTGTTGTTTCGCATTGCTAGATTATAGCACATTGTGTCATGAAGCCGTCCCAACGCTGTCTCCTGTTACTGGCTGTTGGTGGTTGGACAGAGAAATACACAGTGTATAATGATGCCATTTTGTGCCTTGTGCATGAAACTAGGCATTCAGAGAAAAGAAGGGAAGAGAGAGAGAGAGAGATAGTGGAGCTGTAGTCAAGGCGGTGAGAGTTTTCGGAGACTCCTGTTCCCTTCACACAGCTACACTTTCCCTCTTCTTGGAGTCAAGGCACTAATTCCTTGTTAGAGGTTGAGCAACCAGTGAGTGCCCCTCTTCAGTTTCTCAAGACATCCCTAAATACATTGAAACCTTGAATTTGCAAGAAATCCTTTTCATCCCTGCTCCACTGCACATGCTAAGCAGTGAACAACATATTTAGTTCTGCTTTCTGCATTTATTTGTCTCTGTGGTGTACCTCAGCTAATAAGAGTTCCCTCTAGTGGCCAAAGGAGGGGAGGGGAGGAATCTTCTTGGTCTCACAGACTTAAGTGCTAATTATCTCACGTAAAAATTGTGTGTGTGTTTTTATGGAAAAGCATTTGAACTACTGTTTTTTTGGGGTTTTTTTGAAAAAGGAATTAGCACTTTTGTCCCAATAAGCATCAGCTCCAATGAGTTAACACTTTTGAAATGGGAAATAAGGCACGCAGACCCAGACAAAAACCCATATTGTGCGAAATGAGTTGAAGGGGAGCTTTATTTCACAAGGGCTGTCACATGTTAGACAGAACAAGCTTGTTTTCTCCTGCTCAGGAGGGTAGGACTTGAACCAATGACTTCAAGTTACAAGAAAGGAGATTCCGACTAAATATTCGGAAAAAAACTTTCTGACAGCAAGAGCTGTTTGACAGTGGGTTGTGGACTCTCCTTCCTTGGAAGTTTTTAAGCAGAGGTTGGATGGTCATCTGTCATGGATGCTTTAGCTGAGATTTCTGCATTGCAGGAGGTTGGACTAGATGACCCTTGGGTCCCTTCCAACTCTTAAGATTCTATTTTGATCTGCAGGGCAGCGAACATCAAAGTTTTAAAACAATACAATTTAAAATGAAATAAAAGCATATCTCAAACATTTAAAGACAATTAGAAGTGTTTAGCATATCTAAAAACCATCATGCACTCTCACTAATTCCAAGGCTGCTGTGGCCAGTACAGTGGTACCTCAGGTTAAGAACTTAATTCGTTCCGGAGGTCTGTTCTTAACCTGAAACTGTTCTTAACCTGAGGTACCACTTTAGCTAATGGGGCCTCCTGCTGCCGCCGCACAATTTCTGTTCTCATCCTGAGGTAAAGTTCTTAACCCAAGGTACTACTTCGGGTTAGCGGAGTCTGTAACCTTAAGCGTCTGCAACCCGAGGTACCACTGTATATTTCAGCCATCAAAGGCCTGGGTAATTAAATTTTAAAACAGGAATGTTTTAACATTTCTCCTGAAAGTCGATAAAGACGGAGACATCATATGCTCAGTCACTGTAGATACATTTATAGTCCCAGAATGTTATTATTGAATCTTGAGATGATGTATGCATTTGTTTTATGTGCAGCGGGATAAATGTGCTTATGCCGGGCCTCACCACTTACATGGACCACACTCATCAAAAGACATGTGAACTTGCCCAAGTTGCAATTTTTGTGCATTCCTAATAAGCCATAAAACAAATGGAGAGCAACTGTTTTCCTTTGATAGCATCACTTCTGGTATGAAGGTTCAGGCATACAGAATGCGAACGCCTGTGTTCTCCACGTAGTAATTTTCTTCTTCACTGGTTTTTCTTTTTCAGCAAAGTGTTTATTGCCCAGCTCTTCTCTCCATAGCTCAACAATCCTTTGGAAACGCAATCGAAAACTCCCGCTTCTCTTTCTTCAGATTCAAGGACCGATGCCTTTGCTATCCTTGAGAAAAGTTTTTTTTGGTCTGTCCCTTGCCTCAGTCATATTCACAGCATGGTACATGGTCGTCCCCTCCAACAATGTGGCGGAATATAACAACTGGATGTACTTCTATGACTATGAGCCCATCCATAAGCAGGACTTCCTCTTTACGCTACGCGAGCGATTGAAATGTGAAGACAACAATCCGTTCCTCATCATCTTGGTGACGTCACAGCCTACGGATGTGCGGGTAAGGCAGGCCATTCGAGTAACCTGGGGGTCTCAAAGATCCTGGTGGGGGAACCAGGTGTTGACACTGTTTCTGTTGGGCAAAGGAGCAGAAAGCGACGACTTCGCAAGCTTATCTATAGAAGATGAAAGCATTCTTTATGGTGACATCATCCAACAAGACTTCCTTGACACTTACAGCAACCTTTCCTTGAAAACCATCATGGCTTTCAGATGGGTGACAGAGTTTTGTTCCAGTGCTAAATACGTTATGAAGGCAGATTCAGACGTTTTCATCAACACGGGCAACTTAGTGAAATTCCTTCTGAATTTGAATGCCTCGGAAAACTTCATTACTGGCTACCCTTTAGTGAATACCTTCTCTTACAGAGGATTTTATAAGAAAACCTATATTTCTTACACGGAATATCCCTTTAGGAGGTATCCTCCATACCTCAGTGGACTTGGTTATGTCTTCGACACCAGACTGGCTGCAAAGGTTTATAAAATGATGGGTCATGTTAAGCCTATTAAGTTTGAAGATGTCTATGTTGGGATCTGTTTAAATATACTTGGTGTGAACATCTCCATTGCAGAAGATAAAGAACTCTTCTACTTGTACAGAATCGGCTTTGATGTTTGCAAGTTCAAGCACTTGATTGCCGTACATGGTGTATCGCCCCAGGAAATGGTTTCCTTCTGGCAGGAAATAACAAGAGAGACTTCACTTCTGTGCCAGTGATTCCATCCTGTTTTAAAACCCTGTTACTTTAAGCCTGTTTGCTCCCCAGCAGAGCAGGGGTGGGCAGATTTTAGGCTGTGTGTCCCTCCCCCCCCCCCCGAACCAAGAACTACTGTCAAGAGCCAGGAACAAAATCTGTAAGCACCTTCCAAGTCTACAAAATGTCTTTTCCCAAATGTGGTTCTCCAGCTGTTTGTTGGACTACAACTCCCATCATCCCCAGTCACTGGTCCTTGCTAGCTAGGGATGATGGGAGTTGTAGTCCAACAACAGCTGGAGACCCAAGTTTGGGAAACGCCGCTTTTAGAGGTTGAGGTGTTTGATGCTCTCGCAGCTTCTGCAGTTTATACGACATAAATTTGTGAGGACTTTTGTGAAGCTAGGAAATGATTATAAGGAAAGTCTTATGCACCAGTGGACATGCACATATCGGACACTCAGCGGGGCCCATTATAGTTGCAATGTTCTGACCTTATGCTTCTGCTTCTAGCCACTGTTAGAAGGGGGAGGCAGGACATTTGGGTGATTCAGCAGGAGTGTCCTTTGCACAGCTTCTCCCAACCTGGTGCGCTCTAGAGGTTGTTGCGCTCATAGCTCGAACCATCTGTGCCCACCGGCCATGCTGGCTATGGCTGATGGGAGTCCAAAACATTTGAAGGTCACTTTCAGAAATGTAAGTATTAGTTGAGTAGTTGTGCTTAGTGCAATACTGACAGGGGCCTGCTTTGTGCACCACAATAAGCCAGAGCAGGGCATACCATGACTCCATGAACATGCTGGTTGCCAGTGAGGAAGTCACACTCGTTTTCCTCCTCCCTGGACTTCTTAGCTCACCGCAGGACGTGCTTTGGCTCAGCGTGTCATCCAAACCAGGGATCATGGTTAAGGTGTTTCAGTCGTGACCTGTAACCATAGATGGTTGTTAAGGAGGGAGGAACCTAACCAGGTTCAGGCAACATGCTAAGCCAATCCATGGCTCCACTGCCATTTTGCGCTGTCCCAAAAAGCACAGGGAGGAACAAAAATGCCTATGGCCTCCTCCTCGCGAGCCATTGTTTTGGTGCTAAACCATGGTTTGAACTGGGTGCGTGGTCAATGTGATAGCCTGTTACACATAATGAAAGATACGCTTTCTGCAAATGGGTTTGTGCATTCTGTTCCTCCTCCTTTAAATCAATTTAGGGGAGGTATGTATTACAGCTCCGGAGAATCGAAAAGCACTGAAATATAACAGGGGCTAGATAGTTATCCACTGCCGGTCATATCTTGACATATCTAAACCTCTTGTTTAGGTTTACTGCAGTATTTTTTTATTTTAATAAGTTTTTACTGGTGGTCTGATAGCTTTCAAATCACGGAACTTCCATCCATGGGAAACTCACTTGATTCCCTCATTAAAGGGAACCTCAGACAATAGGTCAACACTCAGAGGCGTACCTAGGCATTGGAGAGACTGACTCTCGCTGGTGAAACTTCCCGTCCTTCTCACATCACAGCACAAAGGTGTGCGTCCCGTCCCCCCCTTACCCTTATTCCAGACGCTTTTTGAGACAAGTAGAATGGAGCGATTTCTAATGTGGCAATTGTGGTAACGTGATTGGGGGCACATGCCGATACAGCTTCTTGCCCAGGGATCCGAGGGATGCCATTGTCGACGCTCCACTCCTTCAAGGCACATTTGGGATAAGATTCATTTATTTCTATAATTTACACACTGCCTTTCTGCTCTTAATCTGCACAAGCATCTAAAATGCAAAACAGCACAGTAGCCGAACCATTGCCATTCCTTTGAGAGCAGCAGCGATTTAAAAATGCACTGAGAGCCAGAACTAAATAAGTAAATGCCCACTGAACCATTCCGGAATCCTCTGCTCAATCTGGAAAAAGGTTGTTCCTCCTGTGTGTGTGTTTTGGTAAAACACTTATAGATATCCAACTACGGCGTGGTCCAAAACTCTTCCCAAGCTGCAAACCAGCGGCTTCAAATGTCATGTGATAGGTCATTTAGCTGTTCTTAGGGTTATGTTTTGTTTTCTGTAGTTCTTATAATGTTGCTGCTGTATTGTTTTCATATATTAGTACTTTGTGAATTTTGAATAACGGGAAAGTGGAATAAAAATGAATGTTGGCTCTGCCCTTGCCTCCGGTCATGGGGGGTGGGTCGCTTCAGAACTCCAACTGGTCTTACATTCTGAGGAGATCCCAAATGGGCGGGATCATACACAAAGAGGTCGATTAATCACCTTTTATCACTGGACACCAGTCTGTTTTGGTTTTGCATACAATTTTCTCTCCTGTCTTTTCTCCCCTCTTACTCTTTCCCAGTCACTTGTGTGTCTCCCTGCTCCCCAGTGGTTTCCTCTCGCCTCCCTTTCTATAGATCCCTGCCTTTTCATCTTTCCCGCTTTCCTGCTCACCTCTAGGACTAACAGCTCCCGCTCCTGCTATCCCATTGCACCCTTTCTGACACAGCACCCACTCCCTTTGTAGCTTGCTTCATCTCTCGACTTCCATCTCTCTTCTTGCGCCCAAACCATCCCGGTTCCTTTGCCTCCTCTGTTATTCCTCTGTCACTCCTGTCCTCCCGCAACCCACCGCCTTGCAAGGACCTGGCTCAGACACTTTTAACCATGGCATCCTTTGGCTGTTGGCTGTTCCCACCCACCAGGATCCCCTCGCAATCTGTATGCAAATAAACACATTAATTAAGATGTTCTTGGTTTTATTTTTACCTTTGGAGCGATATTTATTAGTGTTAGGACTTGGTATAAATTTATGTGGCTCGTGACCTCTCCTGGAAAGTTTCCCCAGGAAGAATGCAGTCCTTCGAGCTGAAAAAGGTTCCTCATCGTTGCCTCAGCAATTCCACTTACAACTCTTAAAACCAATTGTCTGTCCTTAGCGGCATTAGCTTAGGATGCTGTTCTTTTTTTGAAGGGACAGGGAACTCCTCCAACTTAATGTCACTTCAGAAAAAAGCGCATGGCCGTAGCTCATGACTAGTGGGAACTGCAACATAATCTTGCAGTGGATTCGCTGGAGAAGTTCTCCACCGCACACCCCAAGTTGGTGCATGTTGTCTCCTTGGACCTTTCCGCCGATTCCCTTGGTTATGTGCTGGCTCACTCGCCAACCGCCTTTCTCTCCTGTGCACCCCATCCTTTGTGTGGGGGGCAGTGCATACCAACTGTTCTTTCCTTATTTCCCTCCTCGCCTCCTGTTTCCCACCATCCCTGGGCTGTGCGAGAATAATCCACACACACCTTTCAGAGCTATTGCCTAGCTAAGGCTGAGGTAACTTCCCTTCTGTTTTCTGTGTGTGTGTTCATGTGTGTTATTTGTGTGTTTCCTTGCTCTCTCCACCAGGCAAATGTGTATGCTGTGTCTTGTGTTTTTTGGAAGGGATGGCTCATTCCACTTTGTGGGGCCAAGTTTTAGAAGTGTATTCTCCATGGGGTGCTCAGTTTTGCTGACAAACTGGAATGGCCAGGATAGGGGATCAATCCAGTTTGCTGCTGGAGGGAATGACGATTCCTGGTGTGGGCTGTTTGCTTTCCTGATGCAGAACTCAAGCAGGGATCGTAATCGTTTATTCCTGCATAGGACGAGGACGTGTGTGTATCAAAAGAAACAGCAAGACACCATAACCCAAAAGAGAAAAGAGGCTTGTTATTTATTTAAATATGCTCCTTTTATAGCCTTTATTTTTTATTTTAACCATACAACCAAAGCCTTCCCCCACCCCCAAATCAGTAGTTTACACTTCCTGTAGACATTAACATAGAATCTGCAGTTGCATGAAATATATATTCCTCACACATTTAAAAGGAAGGGGGGGAAAGCTACTTCTAATGCACACACAGAAAGATACAATGGTAGCCCACATCTAGAAGTGACAGAGCACTGCCACTTTTAGGTTATACTACAGCTAATGTTATATTTACATTTCGTTTGACTGTGTTTCAGATTGTCTCTTAGAGACAGATGTAGATTAAGTACAAAAGAAACCTACTAGTACCAAGAATTATGAGGTTTCACCAGTTCCTTCCTTTCTTGCGCATTATGGTCAAAAGTGCTGGGTTTGGATAGGTTAAAATGAGTTCAAATCATGATTTCAGTGTGCAGTTGTAGATGCCGCACTGGGTTCCTTTTTAAAACCAGCAAGAATTGCCTCCAGAATTCTTTCTGAAGTCTACCTTAAGATGTGCACAAGTGTGATGTGACAACAGCATCTATGTGCTGAGAAAGGTGTCTGTTCTCTGGCTTGGCTTCAGCCTCATCTGGAAGAACTGATGGGCACAGTGTGCTTTCCTACATTAACATCTGCATACATCTCACGATGCAGTAACGCGCCTGTGTTTTTAAAATAACCGATGCCGAAGGATTAGCAAAGTAGAAAGCAGCTCTGTAGCTCTTCCAGATTTGGCTCCCTTATTTCACATTAAAAAGGCCTTGAGTGCCTATTGATTGGTTTTGGCGAAAATGGCATCAAACACCCTTGTGCTCTCAATTCAACAATGTAAGAAATGTGTTCCGATAGGGTGCCTTGCAGAGAGAGAAGCATTGCTGTTAAACCAGAGTAAGTGGTCTCTTAGGTCCTACTGCATGGAGAATGAGTTGGTCCACTAGGACTGTAGCTCACTGGTCAAGCATCTGCCTTACATGCAGGTCTCAGGTTCGATTCCCAGAATCTCCAAACAGGGCTAGGAAAATACCTTGCTGGAAACCCTGCAGACTCTGCGGCCAGCCAGTGTAGACAATATGGGCCAATGGCTTGACTCAGTAGAAGGTAGCTTCCTATGTTTCTGTGTAGTGGTTGAGACTCTTTCACCCGTTCCATTTGCTTCTGAGTCATCTCAGTGGCTCTGAGAATCTAGGGTGCATTATTCACCAACCCTTTCCTGAGTCCAAGTTAGTGTAGACCCATTTTTTTTCCAGAAGAAGGGAGTAGGGATTGTGACTTAAATTGCAGCCATAGTAAATAATTTAAGACTGCAGCAGTGCTAGGTTTTATGAAGTGCCAGGGCAAAGAGGTTTACTTTTGGCCTGGGTTATATTTTAAGTATTAATTGTTCTGATTGTGGATAAGTGCCAGACTTTTCGCTGAAAACCTGCCAGAACCTTTTACTTAAAGAGTGACTGGGTCATACATAACCCTAGGACTACGGAGAGAGGCTTGGCAGCAGCTAATGTTGCTTTTAAACAATACTCTGCAATTAGGGGCAATTTCTTCTGAGAAATTATTTAAGGCAGACACATTTATGGCTGGGAAAATTAAGATATGGCCACAACGTTAAGAGAAACGGCTCCAGCAAATGCCACTTTCCCCAGCCATGATACTCATTTTTTAATGAAGTGTTGCCTTCTGGAAGCTAAAAACATGTTGGGCTGATGCCCCTGTTTAGTCACACTGAAATTAAAGTGACAGTATTGCTTTACTGAATATTAAGAACAAGTTTAAATTCTAGAAAATCAGCTGTGTGAAGAAATCAAGAGTATGATGTTTTCAACAATTCTACATGATGCATACATGTATCTACCTTCGCAGATGCCATTTGTTCTACATGAAAGAACATGCTTCTTCTAAGGTGGTGCCCTGGTGGTGGCTGTTTGTAAAATCTCCTGCTCGGACAGTTGGAATCACCTTTTGAATCGACTAGAAGGTTTTCAACTGAATAATCTAAAAATCAGCTAAGCTTTACAGTCTTGTCCTATCTAGATCCTATTTTCTTGCTGCATTTCTATTTTGTCTTAAATGTTCTACTCCACACGTTTATCTCGAATGGAAGAACAATTACGCTACAGCAATTGCAACGTCACATTTATAGCAATCTGCTGGGGCAGGTACATATGGGCTCTGCTACTTAAAATAAATTATAGGGTGTGTGTGTGTGTAGATATATGCACATATGTATGTTTTTGTGGAATCATTTTCAGTATCTCGTCCCACAGTTTAAACACACCTGCCTTTCAAAAGACAAATCCACTTATAGTACCAGAGCAAATGTTTGTCATTAAAAAAAAAAAAGCATCCACAAAAATACCTCAGAACCACAAGTTATGGTTAGCTGAGCTTTCAGAACAGGGCACAGATGATGGGTTTCATTCCAGAGCTGCAACAGGGGTGCCAACATGAATAAAATATTGTGGGGGCCCAGATATGCCCCACCCCACATAAACAATAATATGGTGCGGTGCGCACACACCATTTGAATGGCAATGCCTATCAACTTTGGGGGGGGGGTCCTACTCAAATGTTTTACTGCAGGGGCTGAAGCCCCCACAGCCCCTAGGATTTGGTTCCTATGAACCCCTAAGAATTTTGGTTGGATCATGTAAGTTATGTGAGGGGGACTATGGGAACTCATTAGGTCAGCTTTGCACCCTAAATGTTGGAAGCCCATTGTCCATGCTGAATGTGCATCCATGCGCTCATGTCTAGGGGAATCATAGAATTGGAAGGTACCCCAGGAGTAATCTACTCCAACCCCCTGCAATACCCAGGACTGAGTGGAGTATGCACAGGGTAAACAGGAAGCACACCATGCACTGGTACATGCAATTGCCACAAAGAGAGACCCAAAATTTATAGCCATAATTATATGTACCACTGTACTTTACATCTTGCACTATACCCTTTCTGGGTGCACATGGAACCAATAACTAAAGCAACTATGTACAGTGGTACCTCGGGTTACAGACTCTTCAGGTTACAGACTCTGCTTACCCAGAAATAGTACCTCGGGTTAAGGATGAGAACAGAAATTGCGCAGTGGCGGCGCGGCGGCAGCGGGAGACCCCATTAGCTAAAGTGGTGCTTCAGTTTCAGGTTAAGAACGGACCTCCAGAACGAATTAAGTTCTTAACCCGAGGTACCACTGTACTACCATGTGAGCCACCCTGATTTTAACCTTGTAAATCCCAGCCAAAGTGAACACTTTAATAGCCCATTGATTTCAATAGGAGAAATGAAACATGTTCAACTCTATTAAAATCAATGCGGCTAATAAAAAAAAAAGTTTCATTTTGGCTGATCATGACCATAGATTTCAATGGGGCTGAATCACATCTGTGTTTCTATAGGTTGTGCACCCAAAGTATCGTCTTCTACATATTGTGCCACCAGTTTTAAGAACATTTCCGGATCTAGATGCTTTCAGTGATTACACAATAAATGTTGATGGACTATCTCTACAATCCAGGGAATGATGTGCCCATTGTATATACCATAATGCTCTAAATCAAGGCTGGGGAACCTGTGGTCCTCTAGACGTTGGGACGTCCATCAGTCCCAATCAGCTTGGCCAACCGTCTGAGTTGACAGGAGCTGCAGTCAACATATGGAGGGCCAGAGCTTCCCCACCCATTTTCCAAACCATGTCATTCCCAGGGAAATGCATGCCCAACAGGCTTAGATACACATAGCTGCATTCCTCTTTCGTAATAAACTAGATTGGTTAAATACCTTGCATGATTCCAGTCTACAATTGGATGCATTTCTCTTTACAGAATACTTGTAGTTTCCTAGATCTCAACCCCTGTGCAAACCCACTATTTAAATCCATTTTCACATCAAACACATTTATTATTTTCACATCAACTGTAAATGGTCATATTTCCTACCATTTCTTAATTCAGTATGAAAACACTGTTCGCTTTCTCAGGCCCCACATAGCCATAAAGCTAAACTATATTTGTCCCTACACATTGATTCTTTAACTCCATGGTTAA